AAAATGATTTTGAGTATGAGAAATAGTGCATCTTGCAATATATCATCTTAAACCGTCTATTTTCTAGATTTTCATGTTGGAAATGTGGCCTATCATGTCCTTTTATCTCGAGAATTTATTTTTCAATAATGGTACAAAAGCTATATTGTATAGTATATGTGAAATCTCAAATGGTCGACATGAGGCAATACCATATACTAGGATCCATTTTGGAGCTTTTATAAGATGTTGCACTGGAGGGAAAACCCGATTCTTTGTATTAATTATTATTTTTATATTATAGATGTATAAAATTATTTAATTTTTAAATATCTTTTATCAAGTTGTATGAATGCTTGGTTATCATCATATTATAAGAGTCATTAGTGCACTAATGAAAGGTTTAGCTCATTGCACAAGATTAACAGTTTGGTGACAACTTGTTAATCCTAATTGACTGCACTTAAGGAAATTAAAGCAGGAGTTATATTTGGATCTCAATTCCTATAGACCATGAATGTGATAGTTACAAAATATGGTTCTCTATAAAAAGAGGTTAACCCTTCAAATAGAAAGAGAAAGAAGGATAGAAAAGAGGTGAAGGAGATTCACCAAGTGGACTCTCAAAGTTGCCTGTCACCGAAATGATTGATCTATAGGTTTTGGTATGAAACCTTAAAGTCCATTGTGTGATGTAAAGACAAATCCGAGTAAGTTATTCATTTATTTATTTGCCATTTTTTTTATTGGGATTAACATTTCATATGTTTACAAATCTACTTGATTTTAACTATTTTTGAAGTTTAAAATTTTATAGTTAAATACAAAAATAGATTTTGAGAAAATTCTAAATTTTCTTTTTCACCAAAGTTACATGTTATGATAAATTTTGGAAGCACACCTTAATAGGATGGTTTAAGGTTGCAACCTTATAGACACCACCCTAAAAAAAAAAAAAGCGGTTCTCACAAATAGATTTTGCCGACCGCACGTGTGTTCACAGTAAATGGCAAAAGCATGCTTATCTTGAATGGGGGAAGGAATCTGGGGGGGATAGGTAAGGTCACGGGTGCTCTCTTAGTGGAGCCGCACTTTATGCCTTTCTTCGTTTTTTCACATCCCAAAAGGCTCATATATATGCCAAAGCACCCCCGCTAAGTGCCCCTCTAAATTGACACTTTACAATAATTTCGCATGTGCCCTTTGCTTTTTCGCCCACTCGATACAAAAGGTCGGCCAACTTTACAAAAGAGAGTGGGAAAAGTATAGACGACTCTTGTTTTTATTACTAATTGTAGCTTATTGTCTTCATTACTGATTAGATTTTTAATCAAAGTTAAATGATGGACGTATGGGATTTGATCTTGTCGGACATTACGAAAGTACCGATGATCTCGTTGAACCCTCATTAATTTTAGGTTTCAAGATGATTATGATTTAATAAAGTGTATAATAAGATCATTTGTTTTTGGTACAAGGAAACGACATTTATGATTGGTAGTTAGATCTGAAATCGGCATTTATGTGTAATTTACCAGACTTGATATCCAAAAGTAAAAGTTCTCGAGCTTTATGAAACAACCCCGAACTATCAAATTTCACGCCCAACCATCTGGGATAGATGTGACCTTCTTGTAGCATAGATAAATGGTCTAATAACATGCAATAATGAAAGAACATATATCAACAATTCGGAAGTGACTCACATCCGTTCACCTTAGTAAAGGGCTGGCAACGGCCATGCCAAGACAAGGGCTAGCTATGGTCCTAGCCCTGCCCTATCCCCCATAGGATTGCCCTAGGGCCGGCCCATAGAGGCGTTTGCCCAAGCCTAACCCTAGATGGTCAGACTAGCCCTGGACTAGGCCTAGCCCAACCCTACTGTCAGGGCATGGTTGCCCAGCCCTCGGGGCCACATTTTGTGGCCTAGCCCCTTGTTTATTGGGGCCACACTGATCGGTCTGTGGACCAGACCACTCTACCCATTACCACCCTGCCTTTGTCGAATGTGTGTCAAAATGGATTGAATTTGTGGTTGGCATTCATGAAATGAAGAGGGAATTGAAAGTGTGGTTGGAAATCCCAATCTTCCATTCCATTGTGTGCGGTCGGTCATCTTTCATGTCGTGGGGCCAAAGTGGAAATAAGCTCAGAGCATCCAGGTAAAACTAGAACTACTTCTGCGATTGCGCAGCACAAAGTCAAAACCATATTCCACCCGCAACTTCAACAGGAGTGGGCATGTGCCCTAAACACCCAATAATTTATTGGGAAATTATATAAGCGGGGGATGCATTTCGTGCAAAAAAATTAACCGTATGACAGTATGATACACATACGATCTACCTTTGCTTATCAACGCGGATGGTTGATACGAACTTCTTGTATGTCTTTGACTCGGATGTCAATCACAAATATTCCATCAGAAGTTGGGTACAAAACATACTATCTCAAAAGTATGTCGCAATGGGTGTAATAGACATTTAACACAATGTTTCTATGCTACATATTAGTAGTAGTATGTTGCTTTTCTTTGCCTATAGTCCAACGATAAAGGCCGAGGTTTGTACAAGGCATCAACATTAAACAATTAAAGTGAAGCGCACCTCTAAACTATGCTGAAATATGAAGTTCAATTTGTTGAAAAACCTTACGATGGCATAAAATTTAAAGTTTTAAAAAATAGTGTAGATCGCCAAATAATAAATTTTAAATTTTTTTTAAAAGTACAGACAAACTGCACTATTTTCATGGCATTTTTTTTCTCTCTCTTATTCATACATTTTGAAGGGGAGATAATCAATTTGAGGGTGTTTTAGGAGCCACCACCTTTTTTAATGGATATTTCAAGTGTCTTACTTTATTGACACAATATACAAATCTTTTCTATAATAAATAGCTTTATCGTGCTTAGATTTAATATGTTTATATTTTCCACTTTCATATACCAATAACAAATATTAAAAATAATAAATAATCAAAACACCCCAGCAATCAGGTGTATTTTGATAATTTTATTTATTTTGAAATAATTTATTTTTAATTTTGTATAGGTGTGTAATGGTGAGACGTATGTATTAGGGGTTGCAATGGACCCAAATCTGACTCAGGACTCGCCGAGTATACTTGATAAAGGTCTAGGTATGGAGTCAAACATTTGGACTTGCGCGGGTCGGGTTTGGGTCCAAAACCTGGACCCAAATACCATTCGGGTGTGGGTCTGGGTATGGGTCTGGTTGGACCCGAACCTGTATCCTTACCCGTACCTATAAATTACTAGTGATAAAATAGTTCAAGCTCTATTTGTTTTGGTGTATTAATGGTTATATACAATACGAACTCATAATCAGCTATAGCTATTAAATAACAAATCAGGCAGCTTGAAATCTAATGGCAAGTGATTTGTGAAATTGGTGCAAAAAATATGCGCATATGATTGTAAAAAAAGATAAAAAAAAGAAAGAAAGAAGCTCATAAGGTGGGTGGCATGGACTCGACCAGACTCGGAATATGACCGGATAGACCAGAGACCCTACAAGTATGGGTATGGGTCCAACTTTTGGACCCGACTAGATGGGTTAGGTTTGGGTCCAAAACCTGGACCCGAATACTATTGGGGTATGGGTCTGGGTCTAGCCAGACCCAATCAATTGCCACCCCTAATATACATATTCCAAATTTAAGTTTGGGCAATGATTTCATGCAACCGTTGCATAGTAATATGATGCAATAACCTTACAAAACCATATTATGGCCATTTGTTTCATCCAAATTTTGAAATATACACTCTTTTCATTCTAATGAACAATCTCAAATAAAGAAAAAATTGAAAATACAACCTAGAAAGTATTTTTTTAGCCCAATTAACATAGGCTGTTCATTTTGGAGAGATGTTTAGATCTAGGCCTTAGAAGGATTTTTTCATTTCCAATTTTTTTTTATGGCTTTATTATCTTTAGATGAACAATGTTAAAAAAGAAAAAAAAAATGATTTTGAGTTTATAAAAGCTAAGATTTTGAAATTCACAAAATGAATGGTGTCTAGATTCATTTTTGGAGGGGACTGATTTTGACTATATCTAGGGTTCAAATTGAACTTTTTTTTTTTGGGATTGATTATTGAGATGAAAAGAGTGTGTGTGCAAAAGTTGGGGTCATACAAATACCATAAATATGGTTTTCTAGAAGTGTTGTTGCATTATAATATAATACAGCCGTTGCATTGGATCATTGCTCTTTAAGTTTATTAATATGTATATAAAAAGAAACAAAACTGAGATATATTAAACGCTCTAATAAAGTAAGACCTAGGTGTTAAAATAAATACGAAATGGAGGAGACTATTTCATAATTTCAAGACCTAAAACAATGAGAAAGCTTTCTATGTTCTCCCTACAACATAGAAGTTTTATCCTCCCTCTTATCCAACCATCAATTTTTTAGTGGAGGGCTAAGATTGCCCCAATCACAATGTCATGTCTCTACATTGTTTTATTTTTAATTTTTTTCTATAAACTGTTTTATACTAAAATTTGGACGTCCATTCCTCTATTAGACTTGTACTAACGAAAAATATAAAAAAAATATTTTCAATAAAATAAATGACCAAAATACTCTTGAAAATTTTTAATGGTATTTTGGTTATTATTTTTTATCGAAAAATTATTGTTGATATTTTTTATAGGTGTGCCCCAACGAGAAGATAACACGTACTAAATTTTATATTTAGAAAATTTGTATTAAAAAAGCTAAAAATAAAATAATTTGAGACGTTGGATCTAAAATTAAACGGTGAGCAGCTCTCTTGATAAAAAATAAATAAAAGTAAAAAAGGTATAGAATGTAAGGGGAACATTGAAAGCTTTCCCAATAAGGAATATGTGAAAACTTAGCCTAAGGAGTTCTTTTCCGTTCTTTAGGCGAGGGACAATTTCGTAATTATTAAAAATACGATGGCCATGCGGTCATTTTTATAAAGGCCAACGGATCTATATTTACCACAAAATACGGTAAGTCTCACCCATTCTGGAGGGAACGGGAGAAGGGAAGGGAGACAGAGAGATGCTCCTTTGTTCGCGCATTTCAATTCCAGAAGCACACTGCTTTTGCTTTTTGCTCTAATTTCACAATAAGCCCTAATCTCCTCTTCAACCAATCAACCAAGTTCCTGACTCTCTTTTGCTCTTTCCCTCTGGTTTTTCTTCTTCTTATTTGGTGTCTCGTTTTCTCCAGTGCAATTAGGGTTTATGAGTTTTTGGTTCAGAGAAGTAGAAGGGAACTTTTTGTTTATAGGATTCAAAGGTTGATGAGAGAAAATTGGTGTTGTTAGGGCGTCTTTTACTTACAATCAGTTTCTTCTTCACAATTGTAGAATCCTTTTGTATTTAGGTATTCTTCTGGTTTATTGTGATAGAATCTGCTATAATTAGGGTTTCTTAGTCAAACTTTTGCTTCAAGAGTAGAGTACTCAAGGTGGCCTTGAAATATTGATGCAAGTAAACCAGTTTTTAGGGCTTCAATATCTGAATATTCCAATAATTGGTTTCAGAATCTAAGTATCATCTCGGCATAAAATTGGTTCTGCTCAATTTAGCGTCAGTATTTCTTTCATTCGAGAGCGGAGTACATATTCAAAGGCTTTGGTGTTCTACTGCAACTCTGGACTCTGGTTAGAGAGGTTTTTCGGCGCAGAACCCATGATCTACTGAAACTTTTGTCCTGAGTCCGCTAAAAGAAGCAAACTAGGTCTCTTCTACCTGGGCTCGAAGGAATCAAAATTTCCTTTGATTTGTTTGCTATAGTACTGTTGCTTTTGCCCAGGCAACTGCAAGTGAATCTGTTATTTGATCGTTGAGCACGTATCTGAAGGTTTTTTGTTTTTACAGTTTTATTGGCATTTGATCAGGGAGCATTTGGTCACAAAATTTGGGTAGAGAGAGAGAGTGGTCGTGTTCTTTAGATGGGTAAGGGGTTGAAGAATGGTGTTTCCAAGTCATCTTCTCAGAGGGTTTTCAAGGACAAGGCAAAAACTAAAGTGGATGACCTTCAGGGCATGTTCAATGATCTCCAGTGTGCGAGAAAGGAGAGTCGTCCAAATGATGTTGCTGTATTGGAGGAGCAAGTTCATCAGATGCTTCGTGAATGGAAGGCTGAACTGAACGAGGCCTCGCCCACTTCATCATTGCTGGTATGATCACTTGAGGTGTCCTCAGTGTTATAATTATTTTTTTACTCCTCAGTGTTATAATTATTTTTTTACTTAAAATGTTTGTTATATTTAATTTTAATTAATTAGCAGGTTTTTTTATTTTGTTAACCATTAAAACATAGAGTAAAAAAAAAAGGAAATCGTAGATTTTTTTTTTTCTAGTTATGCTTGCCATGATTTTGGCTTATCCTTGTCAATGTGTTAATAGACTATAACAGTAGGATTTTGTTTTCAACATGCGTTAGCCCACATTACCATGATATTTGTTATTATTTGGCTTCTTGGAGGCCCATTGATTATTTTTATTTTTTTTGGTCTTGATTATTTGCTCAACCCAGAAACTTCGTATGTAGAAAGTATCCCGAGCACCAGCAGTTACTTCATGCTAGTATTGGCGCTTTAGCGCTGTCCCAGTTGTTTACAGTTTAACTATTCAGCAATCGTTTTATGTATTTTCTCTCTAGCTAAGCTTGCTGGAATGTTAGGTGGTTCTTTGCTGTAATACTAGTAAAATTTTGATGACTTAATTGTGTCAAAAGCGGCATGTTAAGTCGATACTACTATGGTTTTTTTATTAGCTTTGATACTCAGAAACCCAAATAGTCTGGCTTTTTTTTTTGGTTCCTTTCTTTTGATGGTTTATTTAGCCCATAAGCTTTTTACGGCAGTTATCTCCTTTGGGATGGCTGGCATTTGGTATCTTGACTCTAAACTACTGTGGTTTTTTTATTAGCTTTGATACTCAGAAACCCAAATAGTCAGGTTGTTTTTTTTGGTTCCTTTCTTTCGATGGTTTATTTAACCCATAAGCTTTTTACGGCGGTTATCTCCTCTGGGATGGCTGGCATTTGGTATCTTGACTCCGATTGGGGCATAAGCAGTGGGAGACAAATTTACCAAACACACCAAAATAAAAAGTTGAAAAAACAAACTCCTAGGCAGATCCAATACTCGAGCCATTAAGATTCCAAGAGATCGAGTTTCTTGAGTTAATTGTGGTTTTGAACCTCTTTATCTCCACTCTATTAGTTGAGTTGCAGCCTACAGCACCCTCTCATTTTCTCTACATGTATGTCCTACTAGGAAATTTTCTGTTGTTCACATCACGAGCTTTTATTAGTACGAGGAGTCAAAGGTGAAGTATAGTACCACTTGACTTGAATTCGTTTGGAAACAAAACAAAGAAAAAAGAAGAAAATGATATATGAATTTAAAATAAACAAGAAAAGAAGAAAATTATGTATGAATTTAAAATATATATTTTTTAATACTTGGAGGTAAGTCTCATTGATTATACCATGGGTTTTGCTATGTGTTTGAATATGTAGGCGGGCAGCTTGGGTTCCTCAGAACTGTCGTCAGATATGCGTCGGCTGTTGCAGCTGCATGAAGAAGATGATGATGCAACTAGTGCATTAGCCCCTCCAGCTAGTCCAAAGCTCCATTGTGATGCTCATAACATTCAAGCTCAGGATGCTGAGTTTCATGATGTGAGCTTTTCAAAACTTTTCATATTCAATCAAGAATTATCAATTTTTAATTTTTATAGAGCCCTCGTCTTTTCTTTTCTTTTTTACCCTTGCGATAGTAATTCTATAGATTGGGCAAAGCATGCATTGAATGGGTGAGAATATGTCTTGGTTGCAGGATTTTTACACGAATCAAGCCTCTCAACAGCAGGCTTTTCATGAGATCAATGGCCGTGAAGGCATTCACTCTGAGGATTTGACCAACAATCTCAACGATGGGCTGGAAGGTAGTATTCTACTAGAAGATTATCAGTTCAGTTTGTATCAGGATTTCACCAATAACCTTTGCCTTGGTTTCGGCATGACTAGTCGAGAGGGTGACAATTTATTGTGTAGTATACCTAACCCACCATTGGGTATGTGCCCTCCTCCACCTTCTGCCTTCTTAGGGCCTAAATGTGCCCTTTGGGATTGCCCTAGGCCTGCTCAAGGGTCAGAATGGTGTCGAGATTATTGTAGTGACCTTCATGCAACAATGGCACTGAATGAGGGCCCCCCTGGCATGACCCCCGTCCTTCGACCTGGAGGTATTGATCTGAAAGATGGCCCACTCTTTTCTGCTCTCTGCGCGAGAACACAAGGTAAAGCAGTTGGAATTCCAGAGTGTGAAGGGGCTGCGACTACAAAATCCCCATGGAATGCTCCTGGTAATCCATCTATCCTGTTCTGTACTTGTCCCTTGAAGGCTCTTTACCTTTCGGCATGTATGTGGTGGAACAAAGGGTCCAAATTGTTCGTATGGACCACAATTTGGACACATTGTTAGGGGTGTTTGTGTGACCTGAACTTTTCTTTAATCATCTGTGATTTACCTTAAGATCTTCTCTTTTTATAATGATTTTGAGCTAAAAATTCTCCATATTTTATGTTTTTTGAATGTTCAATATTCTCCATATTTGGCACTACTCAAATGGACGTGTCCTTCAGATTCAATCAAATGGACGTGTCCTTCAGATTCAATCTTTGGGAGATTTGTCGTGGAGCTTTTTGGTGCTCCAAATTAGTTTATGTATTTATTTTAATTTTAATTATTTGATGTTAGACTAACAAACGTGATATGTGTGTTATTTGATGTTTGACTAACAAACATGATATGTGTGTTTGGGATCCCCTGAGCACTCCTAAGTATGAGATTTACTCTTGGGCCAAAATGAATTATTTGCATTCATCCGTCCACAAAGTTTTTTCCCCTTATCTTTATAGTCTTGCAGCAAACATAAATACTTCTTTTTTTGGTGGTTTTTGGTTGGCCTCTTGATGGCCATCAATTGACTAGTGTTTGTTATTTTTTTGAATGGTTCAGAGCTCTTTGATCTTTCTGTCCTTGAAGGCGAATCCATCAGGGAGTGGCTTTTCTTTGATAAGCCTCGGAGAGCCTTTGAGAGTGGAAACAGAAAGCAGCGGTCTCTCCCTGATTATTGCGGACGTGGTTGGCATGAGTCACGGAAGCAAGTGATGAAGGACTTTGGTGGGCTTAAGAGGTCCTATTACATGGATCCTCAGCCATTAACTCAGTTTGAATGGCATCTTTATGAGTATGAGATAAATAATTGTGATACTTATGCCTTGTACCGATTGGAACTCAAGCAGGTCGATGGGAAGAAGAACGCAAAAGGGAAAAATATGGGTGATTCACTTGTTGATCTTCAACAGCAGATGGGTAGGTTAACATCAGAATATCCTGCTGATAGCAAAAGGAACGTGAAGGGCAGGGCAAAGCTTGTTCAGAAGGTTAAGGCCAAAAATGGCTATTCCACTCCAAATCAAACAAATCCCAATGACAACTTTGATTATGGAACCGGTCCACAGTATGGATATTTTGTTGATGATCTGAATGACTATTATGGAATTTAGTGCATGGTTATGATGGGGACGAGCACCAGGAATCATTACTAAGTAGTCCATGTCGAGATTAATAACATTTCCTAACTGGTTGGCAATTTTTTGTTGTGTCCAGTTTTTGGGCTTCTACAGAACCTAGTCAAGGATTGGATTTTTATGTTATTTGGGTTTATATTCATGGCTGTGGTTCTCTGTCACCTCTATGTCATGTGGAAGTTTCAGTTTCAATTTTTTTTTATGCTTCCTGGGTGCTGCTCTGTGGTGCAGATCACTGGACTGGTGGTAGTGAACATATTCTCACTCTGTATCATATACATCAACTGAAGGTTGATTCTACGTCCCTAAAGGACATGCATGAAATCTGGTGCACAAAATAAACATATCCACGTTATAAACATTGAAGATGTAACTGTTGCCATCAGCATGGGCTTGCATTGCATATCCCTTTTATGGATGCCACAACTGGGAAGTGGTTTGCAGGATGAATTTGCATCTGATTTGGTTGTATGATCTTTCAGCAAGCATAATAGGAGTTATGCATAATAGCTCATGCACTGATACTCGTTTACAAACCTGGTGGTTGGAGTACGTTATGGTGCTGTATATACATGCCTCTAGCGCATATGTTATGTTTGGATGCCACCATGAAGTTTTTTGTTTTGTTGCTGCAAAATTCAGCAAACTGGTTTATTCATATTTTCTTCTGCCTTCTTTTTTCAACCTCTTGCCTGCTTATCTTATTGTCCTCTCTTATCATTAATGAGACTGCTGTTTTCTATATTTTTTGTTAGGAGCAGAATTGAACTTGCATTTATGTATTTATTTAATGAATGACCAAAATATATCAGGCCTTGATGGCTAATAAGTGTTCTATTAAGAGTATATCTTCATGTTCTGTAATTTTCTTTTGTGAGGGATGGATAGCTTTCGATTTCTGAAATAAGAAGACAATGTAGGGCATGTTGGTATGGTTTTGTTTGTAATGCTGAAATATGATTACTAAAATTTTCATGTCGACTTCAGTTTGTCCCAAATTTTTTATTTCAGACGTTATTTTAGTTTGTTTGACAAATTTTTTTAATTCATTGCTTCAATATCTTTTCTCTGTACACCTCATTGAGTTGATAGTCGATACTGTTGTCTCTTTTAAAAAAAAAAAAAGTTGATACTGTTGTGGATTAATCATGCATTTTTTGTCAATATATCCATAATGTTTCTAGTATTATCTTTTAATGGGTCTGTCCATGAAGGTTCTAGGGCTTCATGTACATGGTATAACATAATGAGCATCAAATTGAAGAGGCTTCTATTTCAAAATTTTCGTACACACTTTATTGATAAATATTTGGAAATCAGAATGTCTCCTAATTTTGATTTTCCATTTGTATGCACTGTTGAGGACAGCTTAAGATATTAATCTCATCAATACAATGTTACGTATGAGAGAAAAATGAAAAAAACGTCTTCAGAATAAGGAGGTTGTTAGGGGGCTACTGGGTGGGTGAAGAAATCATTAGCAAAGAAACCTTGCACCAAATAAAACTCACCAAAACTGATGAAAATTCCTGGAACCTATTTGCTACTAATGGAGGGTGTGAAATTGGTCTCTGCCAAAAGATTGTGAAGAACCATCCAAAACTGTTATACTGTGTCCTGTGACTAGCCTCAACTCAAAAATGATATAGAAAATATTGTCTCGTTTCTTTTTAGGGGCTGTATTTGGTTTTTTATTTCTATGATATATTTCCATATTGGAGCAGTTCTTAAATTTATAAGAACAAATGACAAATCACAATTCATGAATATATAGCTTAACTAGAAAAACAATTTCACCTTGCATATTTTGCCATATCAGATCCTTAACAGAGTATATAGCATACTGCATATGGATTTGGAGTTTCTCTAAGGAACAACATCAACTAAAACCAGTTAAATTAACTTGATCTTAAGATTGGAGAGTCCTAGCTTGAATACCATGTAATAAGTTGGAATCAAGTATTTCTATACGGATCTATGAAATAAAGTAAATATTAAGTTAAACAGGTCCATTGTTGCTATTTATATTATGGTCCCTAAGAATCTGTGGACCATTCGCTTCTCTATCAGCTTTCCTTGAGGAGGCTGTAGGGTTTTTCTTGGGGCCATTTTGAGGATAGTTAGACTATGGCTTCTTGCATCGAGGTCCTTCTTGTATCCTGGATCGTGGCTGCCTCATGTGGAAGCTTTGGTACTGGCTTTTGTTTACCAAAGAGGGATCTCAAAAGAGTGAAATAGCAACATTCTTTGGATCCAAACTCAAGTTAAACATTGTGAGTTGACTAAGGATGTTCATTGGGCCCTATTCTTAGAGTATGTGAGCTTCATAATTGAATATATGACCTTGAAAATAGTGATGTTGAGTGCACTGAGGTGCTCTAGACTGATGGGAAATCCCGCCCATCAAGTGTTTCAAAGCTCAATTTTGGTTAGAGCTCCATTGTGAACCCCAGTAGAGTTTGGATAGGTGACATCTTCATAGACAATTGGGGACTGTGAAGTAGACTCTTTGGTCAGTTAGATTTATGATTTGAATAAAGCAGAAGCAATCACCTGCTTAATAGCTTGAAACTATTCTCACGCATTATATTAGGGCAGTTTTAGTAGGAAATTCACTTGATGGTGTCAGATGCAAGCTGGAACTTAGCCGGCCTGAGATGTGGTGATCATAGACCTCAGTTACTTGGGCAGTATCATTTGTTGCCATGTTCTTACAGATGCTCAAATCCGCTGAGAATGTGGGGTTGCCTCATCTGTCTATTGGGGAGTCCTTAGATATTTGTTACTCATCTTTGATTTCTGTCTTATGTATTTTTACCTCTCATTGGTTAGGGATATGTTCCGCGTCTGTGTCTGTGTCTGTGTCTGTGTCTATGCCTATGCCTGAGTGGCCATGAGATCTAGTGGTGAACAGTCCGTACTTAAGAGGACCAGAGATAGTGCATGATTCAGTGAATTCTCATAGGCCAGCATAAACTGGTTATGTAAACGTGTACGCCTGATCCATGGCGAGACATGTCAGCATGTTTTTGGTTTATGTGCTGAAATATGGTCGGTTTATTTGCTGAAAGATGGAGCCATATCCCAAGTGTTATACTCATGTAAGAGATATATGTTCCACGTCTGTGTCTGTATCCGTGTCTATGCCTGAGTGGCCATGAGATCTAGTGGTGAACAGTCCGTACTTAAGAGAAGACCAGAGATAGTGCATGATTCAGTGAATTCTCATAGGCCAGCATAAACTGGTTATGTAAACGTGTACGCGTGATCCATGGCGAGACTCAACATGTCAGCATGTTTTTGGTTTATGTACTGAAATATGGTTGGTTTATTTGCTAAAAGATGGAGCCATATCCCAAGTGTTATACTCATGTAAGAGATACATATCTTGAACCAACTAACCTCTAGTTATCAACCCACTAGCCTACCAGTCTACGGTTAGAGGGTTAAACCAAATAATTCATCCATGATTTAACCATAGGGATCATCTATGGTTATAGGGTTAAATCATGGATGAATTATTTGGTTTCATCCACAAAAGGCATGTAGGCTTGCGGTGATTCCCTCTTCTTGTGCTCCTTCCCAAACTTTCTCTGAATCTCTCTCTCTAACACAGGCAACATGGGAAAGCTCTCCAAAGAGACCAAGTAAGAAGAGGATGCAGTCCCAAAAACAGATTCAGTCCCTAAAAGCAAACCCCGGTGGAAAGCTTGTGGGATAAGGGAGTGGTTTTCCACCAGATGCTGAGAGAAGATATAATGATCTCTCGTGAGAGAGGGAAGAGTGGGAACGGGTTGGGATGGTCGGACCCGGACCCGGACCCAATTGAATCTGACCCAAAAAACAAAAAATTATGTATCTAAATATATTCAAATATTATGTATTATATACGAGCAATGATATCAAGCAACCGTTATATAGCAATATGATGCAACAATGTTAAAAAATCATCTTATGCCATTTGTTTGATCCAAGTTTTGAAATATATACTCTTTTTATTCTAACGAACAATCACAAGAAAAAGAAAAAATTGAAAACACATCCTAAAAAGTATTTTTTTAGCCCAATTAACATAGGTCGTTCATTTTGATGAGATGCTTAGATCTAGGCTTTAGAAGGATTTTTTTCATTTCCAATTTTCTTGGATGACTTTATTATCATTAGATGAACAATGTTAAAAAAGAAAAAAATGATTTTGAGTTTATAAAGGCTAAGATCTTGAAATTCACAAAATGAACGGTCTAGATTCGTTTTTGGAGATGACTCATTTTGACCATATCTAGGGTTCAAATTGATTTTTTTTGTTTTTTGGGATTGATTATTGAGATGAAGAGAGTGTGTGTGCAAAATTTGAGGTCATATAAATACCACAACCATGGTTTTCTAGAAGTGTCGTTGCATTATATTGTGATACAACCGTTGCATTATACTATGATACAACCGTTGCATTGGATCATTGCTCATTTTATTTATATATATATAAAGGGTTTATCTAGAGTTAACAACCCCTCAAAATACAAAGGTTCAAGAAGGTTGTGATGGGTGTATTTATTAAAACAACTATTACTTTTTTATTAAAAAATTATTTAAATAGATAACTTTATCATTAAGCAAGAGTAAATTTGAAATTTTCACAAAAGTACAATGACATTTTAGAAGTTAGTGTCGTGGATTTTTTTGTAGAGTGTTTTTGTCTTTTAATTAAAATTTCAATTTTACCTTTTATGGAGATGACAAAAATACCATTTGTCTTAGTAATATTTACAGATTTATCCCACAAAAATAACTTTTTTTAAAAAAAATGGACAACGAAATTAATAAATCCATCCTTCACAACTTTCTCTATCTTGAACCTTTGTTTGAACTTTTGTAATTTGAAAGGTTGTGAAGTTTAGAATATCCCATATATATATAGATATAGAAATTTTATATAAGGTTACAACTTTAAAATGTAGAATCACAGATGCATCTCAAAAATCTATCAGAAATGTTGTTGTAATGTTGAAAAAACCCTCTAATCAATCATCTTGACATAGAGATGCATGAATATGAAAAAAAGAGTCCGAGTCTCGAAAATAGTGTATATTGTAATACATTATCTAGACCGTCCTTTTTCAAGATTTTCATATATTTATAGATCTACTTGATTTTAACCATTTTTGGAATTTAAAATTTTTTAATTAGATATGAAAATAGATTTTCAGATAATACTAAGTATTTTTTATAACAAAATTGCATGTTATAATAAAATTTTAAAGTGCACCTTAATTGGATTGTTTAAAGTTGCAACCTTATAAAAACCGTACCTTTTAAATATTACGTATATTTATTTAAATATTATATGTTAAGTATTAGCACTATTTGGGGAGGTTTGGTCCAGGTCCACGTCCGGGTTGGGTCTACATAGAACCAGACCCGACTTCCCAAATCCAATTTTTGGATCCATACCCAAGTCCTAATAAGGTAAGGTCGTCGGGTCCGGATCCATTGCCACCCATAAGAGAGAGGGTCCGTTGAAGAAAAGAGTTGGAGCGGCAAAAGGCAAAGGTTAACCCGGACTATGGTCGCTTTGGTGTCTGAAATGTTGCAAAAATATCCGAAAGCTCCAACAACACTTCCGCATACAGACCCCCAAAAACTGTACCAAAAATAACAAGTGCAGGCTAAAAATCCGAGGTCCCAGTGTTCGAAAAATTGGCATGTCCAACTCGGAGCCGGTCAAGTAAACTGGAACCAACCATGGGCTTTAGGTGGTTCAATAGGGTATTTAAAAAAAAAAAACCAATATATATATATATATATAATCTGAAAATATAAGGGATTTGTTTGTAATG